CCGGAGCGACGAGACAAAAACATTAAAACCCATTATAAACGAAGCATTTGTTGCATCCAGTGGGGACATAATTACGGATTATAGTGACTTATGCTGTCTTTTTACGCGTTGTGTTGCATCGCGCCGTGTAAACCTAAAACCATGTCTGCATTTGTGATCGGAGAAATGCACAGCGGCTGGCTTGAGTGAGACATAATTATGGATTATAATGACTTATACTGTCTTTTTACGCGTTGTGTTGCATCGCGCCGTGTAAACCTAAAACCATGTCTGCATTTGTGATCGGAGAAATGCACAGCGGCTGGCTTGAGTGAGCGGAGGCCGGGGGCTAGAGTGAGCGGCAGCCGGCGGGCTTGCGGCAACCATATGTGACGAACTCTTAACTTTTATAAAGAATATCTCTTTGGATTTGAGACTTTAGTCTTTGCAACTTTACAGAGTTTCTTTATGCACCAAGAGCTTGAAACACTCCAAAGAGAAAGGAAAAATTGAAATCGCCTTATATGACCCCTTTAATAAAATTAAGGCATAACAGGTAATTTATGATGTATTAAAATGTGTTAATTAAAAATTTAGTATGTGTATATATAATGTGTATATATAATTATATCATAAATTGCTTTTGGAGTTTGTGATCAAATCGCTAACCCTACGTATTAATATTAAATTTTCTCTTGTTACATGCTCACACATTTGTGTTTTTGACCTGTTTGACTATAAAAAATCTATTATAAAAAAGCCCATGTGTTTATGAGCAACCCAGGAAGCAACCGTAGCAGTGTGCTATAGAAACCACTCAGCTTAGCAACCACATCTGCTATGGATTTGGCCTGGCAATTATTATGGTGAATTTTGCATGGACAAATACCATTCATAAAATAAAAAAAAAATTAGTTCATGCCTTTAATCTTGTAAGCTGTATAATTTTTTTTCCCGAATGACTGATATAAGTCATATTCGATTTATTGATATTTAGTTGCCAATGAATGTAGTGCATGTGCTGGTATGTGCCGTATATATTCTGTTACTTTGATCAGAGGACAATGTGATGTTTCCGGGATGATAAACGACATGATGTCACACTGAGTCATGTCACGGCAGCTATTCGCCACATGCACAAATTTGCCTGCTTGTGTGTGTGCGTGTGTGTGTGTGTGTGCGTTTACATGCTTCATTTCAAACCAATGATTTATGCTAAATGACGTGCTGTATTTAGCAATTATAGAATAGATCAAAACACTAAAAAGAACAAAGTCAGAATCAAAATAGCCTTCTTGATGGATTTAATATTCATTTATGGTATTTCCCTGCTCACATTTTTCTGTGAATCAGTTTATTATTAATAATTCCATCAAGCAGTTACAGGATTTCATTCATTCGCCCTGTAAGATTCCTCATGCATTGATTCATTTTTGTTATTCCACTCTATTGTACTGATTATTTTACTGTAATATATAGGCTTGATTTGCATTATGGTTGTGGACTGATGTCAAATTAGTCCATGTTACTCGAAGTAGCTTTGAGTTTAAAGGAATAGTTCCTTCTAAAATAAATAATTGATACTTTTTTCTTCTGTGGAACACAAAATAAGATATTTTGCTGAATGTCCATGCTGCTCTTGTCCATGCAAGTCATATGGACCACTTTTATAGTGCTTTTCTGTCCTTTTTGGAGCTTGAAAGGCCCTGATCACCATCTACATTCTTACATTATATGGTAAAGAGCAGCATGGACTTCTCACAAACATCTCAAAACATCCTGCTCTGTGTTTTATGGAAGAAAAAAATCATATATATTTGTAATGACTTGAAGGTGAGTTTTTTTTTTGGGTAAAAGGAATAGTTTATCCAAAAATGAAAATTTTCTGACCCCAGGCAATCAAAAACATAGATGAGTTTATTTCTTCATCAGAACAGATTTGGAGAAATATATTAAGCAATGGATCCTTTGCAGTGAATGGGTGCCGTCAGAATGAGAGTCCAAACAGCTGATAAAAACATCACAATAATCCACAAGTAATCCACACGACTCCAGTCCATCAATTAACGTCTTGTGAAGCGAAAAGCTGCATGTTTGTAAAACAAATCCATCATAAAGACTTTGTAACTTTAAACCAGATCACTGTATGGCTGTTTTGAACAAAGGTAGATTGTATGTTTTATGTGTTTTTTTTGTTTGTTTTGTTTTTTGCTCTTAACAAATACTCGGACAAAAATGTACCACAACATTAATCAAAACAATTAAAACAGACTTCATTAACATAAAAGGGATGTTGAGGTTTTGATGTTGAAGGTGACATTTGCATGTGTGGAACACTAGGGCATGTGTTTGTGAGATGTTTTTGTTTTAGTTAACTAGCTAATGATGGTTTGTGTGTGTGTGTGTGTGTGTGTGTGTGTGAGAGAGAGAGTATGTACAGTTAGTCTTTAGAGCATAAATAAGCAGAGATGAGTCAGATATTTATGGATTGCCCCACAGGCCTCTGTTTTCCTCTCTCTCTCTGTTCTCACACTCTGCTGATGGATGAATAAAGTAGAGGGGTAATGGATTGGGAATGCTGTATTACATTGTCCTCAACCGCATATCGCTTAATGAAGCTCTTCTGCTCCTGTTTGTTTATTTGATATGTAAATTTGTTTCAGTGTTGTTAATTTGCTCAGTATAACAAGTTAAAGGCTGCTTTGTTAGCAAAGCCCATCATTTAAAGTGGTCGTATTTAAAATATGAATTTGAAACAGGATTTACTTGCTCTTTCGGTGAATGACACGGAAATATTGACCATGTTTCTCCCTAAAATCAGAAGAAAATAAAATTAGATTAATAATGCAATTAATAGAAATTGCATTTTATATATATGTTTTTTTTGCATCATTGTAACATTTTTATGAATGACCTTTTTTATAAATATATCAAAGTTATATGTGTGTGTGTGTGTGTTTTATAAATATATCAAATGTGTGTGTGTGCGCGCGCGCACATATGTATATGTATATGTATGTATATGTGTGTGTGTATATATATATATATATATATATATATATGTGTATACAGGTACATGCATATATATGAAATCACTGTTAATATATATATCGCATTATATTATTAAACATCATCCTATTTTATTTTTATCAAATTATTATAATGGTGATTCTCATGACTGTACTCCACTGAAATCTGCTCTATCTGTCCTTTGACAGATTTGGCTGAACTTTGTTCAGATTCAGAGAAAATGGAGAAAAAAAAAACATTCAATGAAAAAATATGTATATCGGTTTAATTGTTCTTTCACAGTGCCAGCAGAGTATTGTTGTAGTTACTGTGTTTTTATTTCATTTTATTTCATCGAAAATTAAAGGCAGTACAACAAATACTTTATTTGCAAATGTAATAACTTACAAAAATACATGATGTATAAATACTTTACTATTTAAATATGTATTGGTTATCAGATTGTTAGGTGGATAGATATGCTTTAAATGTGTACTAAATTAGAATTTTGAACAAGTGCATTTGTTTGTTTCTGTCATGTGTGTGTGTGCGCTTTTTTTTTGTCTCATCTGTTTTCGATTGCCTCTTTGACATCCTGTAAATATCTCATATTCAGTGCGGCGGCAACTTCTCTCTGCTGCCGTCACTCGTATCTCTCTCTCTCTGTAGTAGCAGGATCAGTGAGCCCGGGTTACTCTTTTCCCGCTGTAACAAAGGCTCTTTCTCTGTTACACAGGGCTAAGTGCTCCATTCAGTCGTCTGTAAAATGTTGGCAAAATGAGGCCCACAGCGTATGAAATCTTCCCAAATGTCCTTAAACTTAAACACACACGCACGCACACCAACTACCCTCTTTCATTGTGCAACCTTTGCACAGCTGTCACACACACATAAAGGAGAAAGCTTGAGTCTGTGTGTGTGCTTGTATAAAGAGATGCTATTTGACAAGTTAAATGGCTGTGTCTAACACCATCAATGCACAGAAAACAACCCACTAGCCACTGCCATGACTGAGCCGCGTGCTTTAATGCTTCAAAAACAATATGCGTGCAGTTTTAGTAATGTAGCACTATTGTTGAGGTGTCGCAGAGTAACTAAAAGGCAAATCACATGGAACAATATTTTCCCTCATAACATTTATTCAGTGATCATTTCTGATGGCATTAATTTGTTTATGCTAGTACAGTTTCCAAGACATGGAGATAAAAGGGTGATGATATATAGAGTCATTTATATTATGTTTCTGGAGGTTAGCTTTTGAAGTTTTTTGCATCAAAAAAGTTGAAAGAATTATCATTTTTTATCTTTATTTTATGTGACTAACACATTTTTGATTATCATTTCTTATTCATTGTAGAGTGACGGGATAAAAAAAAGATAATTGCGACTTTGTGTCTCATAATTCAGACTTTTTTCCTTGCAATTCTGAGTTTATCTCACAATTTTTTTTTCCAGAAATCTGAGTATACATATCTCAAGTCTGCTTTTTTCCCCTCGGAATTCTAAATTAAATCACAATTCTTTTTTTGTTTGTTTCCGCCACCGAAAAACATAACTGTGACATTTTATCTCACAATTGAGATTTTTTTCGCAGTTGCAAGTTTTTATCTCACAATTCTGACTTTATAAACTCAAAATTGTAAGAAATAAACTCTCAATTCTGAGTTAATATCTCACAATTCTGATAATTGTGAGAAAAGTATGAATTGTGGGATAATAAGTCTCAATTACCGTTTTACAATTACAATTACAATTACAATTATAAGCTTCCTTATTTATGTCTAAATATAAAGAACATTTAGATTTTTACATTTCATGACCCATTTAAACATAAGTGAGTGTTTGTGTTACAGGCATGATGATAACTCAAATCATGAACTATATTTCAAATTTTAATTTAATTCACTTGTTTTCACTCTCAAATAATTAATTTTGGGTTGGAAAGGCATTTATTGTACACTCTTCACATCTTATGGATTTGTTTCTCTCTCTCTCTCTTCTGTCTCTCACAGGAAACAGTCGAATATGCCTTCCTTATCATTTTCACTATCGAAACCTTCCTGAAGATCATAGCGTACGGCTTGGTGATGCATCAGAACGCATATGTCCGAAACGGATGGAACATGCTGGATTTCGTCATTGTCGTCATAGGGTATGTTTTGTCTGCTTATATTCTAAAGCTTTGCTACACTCTAAAATATAAAGGTTCTATGGTTCCATGAACATCCATGGAGCCTTTCCATTGAACAAAAGGTTCTTTATAGTGAAAAAAAGGTTCTTCTGAATATTAAAATGTTCTTCACAATAAAGAGAAAAATGGTTCTTTTAAGAGCTGTTCACAAAATGGTTCAGTGCCACTGCTGTGAAAACCTCTTTTTATTTTTAAGAGCGTACTGTTCACATAGGTTAACTCAAAGTTTTTGCACATCACCTTGATTACAAACAGCACATCTTTTTCTGTCACTTTTATTTTTTTCCTCCTTGATTTCTTGTTTTTTTTTCCTCAATTTAATTCAAATTTTACATTTTACATTTATATTGTCAAAACATTAGCAGCTGATAATATTATCAATAAAGTAATAACAACAAATAAAAATGGCTAAATTTAAAAAATGCTGCAACATAAATTAAATAAATGATACATGTATTTATATATGCAATATGCATATGTATTTATATATCTATACATTTATATGTTCTCACCAAGGCTGCATTTATTTGATGGAAAATACAGTAAAAACAGAAATATTATTCACATTTCAAAGAACTGTTTTCTATTTGAATATATTTTAAAATGCAATTTGTTCCTGTGACGCAAAGCTGAATTTTCAGCATCATTACATGATCCCTCACATTGTCACCTTCACCTTCTCCTCAACTCCTAACACACGCTCACACACGCACACTCCTCATGCAGCTATATGACCCAGAAAAGACCTGAGCTGCAGTCTTTCTCTATACTGTCTCATTATACCAGCCTCTGTGGAGCATCTCCTGATTTTAGATTAGAGTTCATCGTGGACTGTATTACTCACTCTTTTATTCTCAGATGAACTATATTCAAAAACCATGTTTGCTGGTGACCTACTCTTCCAGTGTCCATTTGCCAGCCTTAGTTGCTTTATATCAACTGTTCAGTTTATTTATTTTTTTAAAGATGTGGTAGATGAGGAGTAATCCTTAACCTCCTCAGACTGGTTTTTATTTCAATGTTTTAATTTCATGTCACTTTCTACTGTATCAGCCTAAAAAAGATGCAGAAGCCCAAAGATAAAAAGATGAAGAAGAAAGCAGCTCGTCTTTTGTCCATGCCTCAGGCCTGTTTCATAGCGCATGCATAAACAGTGTGTGTAAGCAAAAGCAGTGTAACTGCACCAGCAGGATCACATTGTGCTTTCACACTGACAAACGCTTGTGCTCCGTAACTGTGCTGTGTTCTCGGGATTGCTACATTGAGCATTTGCTTTAAAACTAATTTTAGACACTTCTTACACATTGAAAATATGTCTTTCTTCAAATTTGTAGTAGACAAAGGCTACAGATTTGGCCAGTTGACACCTCTTTGTGTCTTTCTCCTCAATATAATTTTGGTAAATTTTACATTTTATACATAATCAGGCAAATCATTTGCAGCTGGTGTAATCAAACAATGTAGTCAAGTAATATTATTAGATCAAATACTGATCTGTTTCAAAAAATGGAGCAACATATGTTCAAAAGTGACACTGTCGTACTACATTTAGCATTTGCTTTAATAACGTCTATACATTATACAGTGGTTATTGAGAGTATGCCATTTGAGAATTATATACAACTTGATATTCATGAAATCTAATTTGCATGAAGAGCGAGACCGCATTTACATTCAAATGATATTTAAAGTAATATTCTGGGTTCTTTATAGTTACAAGCTTGATCAACAGCATCTGTAGCTTAATGTTGATTACTACAAAAAATATTTAGACTAAAATATTTAAAATATATATATTTTTTAAAAGAGCCAAAATCAGTGTTATGATGAAGACTGGAGTAATGATGCTGACAATTCAGCTTTGCATCACAGGAACAAATGATATTTTTAAATATATTAAAATAGAAAAGAGTTTTTAAATTGTAATAATATTTCACAATATTACTGTTTTTACTATATTTTTGATCAAATTAATGCAGCCTTGGTGAGCATATGAGACTTTCAAAAACATTAAAACATTTTATCGACCCCGACAGTTTTGTACATTTTATTTTTATTTTTATTTATTTATTTTATTTATTTATTTTTTAAGAATCAACATATTCTGTTGATTTGATCTTAACTTGAAATGAACCCAGAATTTTCCTTTTAATCTAAACCAAACACCACACTGTAGCTATAAACTACTTAAATCATCTGAGTTCAGTTCATCATTTTACTGAATAGAAAGTGTTTGCGAGTCTGAAAAAAAAAAAAAAATGAAATGTGATATGAAACAGTCTTAACTTCTACATCTGTGTCTCTCACCACTCAGCCTGTTGGCTTCTCTGTAGATCATCTCATTCTGTGTACACTCTCCTCTTCTTCCTCTGTATTTCCTTATCAGCATCTCTATCTCACTCATACACACACAGTCCACTGTGTAGCTAGGTCACATTTCGATCAGTTCGCCTCATGCAGAAGAGCTGTCTCCCTCTCTCTCTTCACCTACCCATCTCTCTGTTCACGGGGCTGTCACTCTTGATCTTTAGCTCCTGCAGAGCAGCCCCCCTGCAGCTGAAGATTAGCCAAGAATACTCACAGATAGGTAGTCACTCTTTAAAGGGCAAAACGCCGGCATTAATAAGGCTTGTGATTATTGTAATAGAAGTGGATGCATTCAAAGTACAATTTTTGATAGAAATATATTTTTTGTTATTTTATCTGCTGTTGCTGAGGTCCTGTAGTACATCATTATTCAGATGTGCACCATGGTCCTTTCAGGTCATCACACGCTGCTTTTTTATCATGTGTACAGCAGATGATGCCGCCTGATGTTGTTCAGATTGAATGTCTTGCTGTTTATGTTTTGGCACATTGATGAAAGGTCACGCAGACATGTGATGCTGGAAGTGGTTTATCTATTTTATAATCCAAAGATGTTTTGATATTTTGGCTATAATCCTGCTACTTTATATCAAGATTACAAGCAATTTTATAAAACAATTTTTATATTAGTTTCAAAGAATGTAACCATCTTTTATATTAGGTTTTTATAACTTAATTTTATATATATATATATATATATATATATATATATTGTTTTTGTATGATATAATGCTGTGTGCTGTTAAAAGAGAAGTTATTCTTCTGATTTGTATATAGTGAAGGAAAAAGATTATATACTGCAAAATTATATATATATATGTTGTTGCCAATACAAACACACACACACACGCTCACACACACTCACACAAAACAAAATCAGTGTAGTCCAGTATTGTTGTTAAAACTATTAAAAACATTTTTATCAATTGCAATAAATATGAAATAAAATACAACACAAATATTAAATGAAAAACTTGGTATAAATGTATAAAAACGTATACAAAAATGAGAAATGTTGCTTTGGAAACTATAACTGAAAATAAATAAATAAAAACAAAGTTGAAGTTGAAGTACTAAAATTGCTAAAACTAAAATTGAAATGAAATAAAGCTAACTAAAAACTAATAAAATTGACAAAAGCACATAACAGAATTACTGAAACTTAAAACTATGAAATGAAAACTGAAAATATAAAATAAACTAACTTAAAATATTAATAAACACTGTAATACTATATAAATAGTATTAAAACAATGCTGTTGCAGTCCAGTTCACAAGAAATGACTCTTCTGAAAAGGTTCTTTAAATCAGATCTTTGAGATTGCTCTATCTTTGAATCAGTCTAAATCAAAGCAGGTTTGGTTTGCTTGAGGTTTGTAAGGCATAAACAATCAGTAAATGCATTTATTGAAATGTGTAGGTAAAGATACCAAACCATTTTTTTGAAATAAACAATTTTATTTATATTTCTTTATTTATACTTTATTGATATTTTGTGGTATCGATGAGTTATGTGTTTTTCCCCCACAGATTGTTTAGTGTTGTCTTGGAAATTTTGACCAAAGAAGGGGAGAAGGATACTGCTGGAAGCCTCCCGCCTGTTCACGGCCATGGAGGGAAACCAGGAGGTTTCGATGTCAAAGCCCTCAGAGCCTTTCGAGTGCTGCGACCTCTTCGCCTGGTCTCAGGAGTGCCCAGTGAGTTAAAAAAAAAAAAAAAACCTTCGTCATTAGGCGTTACCAATAATACATTTACTAATGGAAGTCCCTATTTAAAAGTTATGTCTTTACTTATAGTGAGTACACTGAAAAAAATGGTGACATCTAATTTAACTGGATTTATGCAATATACAATAATCTATACCAACAAAACAAATTTTAGTTAAATTGGGTAGAAATAACTCTTTAAGATTACAGTTGTTGGTTAACACATTTTACAGTATATATACTGCATTCTAAATTGTTTATATAAAAGTATCATTGTTATTTTAATATTATAAATTTTATATTTTCTGTTTTCACTTTCATTTTATTTATAGTAATTTGTGTTGTTGTTGTTTTTTTTCATTTTAATTAGTTTTTGATTTTTAAAAAATGTCTACATAGTTTTTATTAATTTTAATAATTGTAAAAAAATTCATACTTAAAGTTAAACTAAACAAAAATGAGAAATATTGTCTTGGCTACTAGCTGAAATAAAATACATGTTTTAAATATATATTAAATTTATTTCAGTTAACATTTACTTTTTTTAAATACTGAAAATGTTAAGTAACACTATACACTATTAACTAGTTAACTTATTAACATGCATATTAAAAGCACTAGTACTTAAAAAGCACATATTAATGCATGACCATATTCTACATCCCTTAACCCCAAACATAACTACTACAACAACTACCTTACTTACTATCAATAAGCAGCAAATTAGGAGTTTTTTGAGGGAAACCTCTTTGTTATTAGTGAGTGATACAGATTTATGTATTTTCAAGGTCAGGTGAAGCTGATTACATATTCAAGGCTTCTAGTTAAGACTGATAAGTCGACTAGTCATTCAGCCAGCCCACGACTATTCGATTTAAAAAAAAAAAATTTTAGTTTTGCACAACACTAATCATGAGGCACTTTGACAGCATCCCTTTCTGAGTCCCCAGAGCGCCGGACCCCCGCAGAGGGGTGGATGCTGGGTGAGAGAAGGCGCATGATGTGGCCATATGGCAGGAAAAGCGCAGCGTTCCTTGCTGCATCACCCTCAGGAACATTCTCTGAGAACAAGCTGTCAAATTCATTGCCCTAAAGACACTAATGTGTGTCTGTGTGTATGCAATATGAGTTAGATGTGAACATTTGGACTGAAATGTGAATGCTCAAATGCTTTGGGGTTAGTGTTAATTTGCATGCATGTGCATGGTCATGTGTTTTTACGTACTTTAGCATATTCTCAGGTTTACAGGTGGTGCTGAACTCCATCATTAAAGCCATGGTTCCTCTCCTCCACATCGCCCTGCTGGTTCTGTTCGTTATCATCATCTACGCCATCATCGGTTTGGAGCTTTTCATTGGAAAAATGCACGCTACCTGTTACTTTCAAGGGACAGGTGTGTTTGACCTTTATTAAAATATGCTGATTTGCTGCTCAAGAAACATTTCTTATTATTATAAATTTAAAAAATATTGTGCTGCTTATTATTTTTGTATAATCCTTGATACATTTATTTTTCAGGATTTTTTTAAGAATAGAAAGTTCAAAAGAACAACATTTGTTTGAAATAGGAATCTTTGGTAACATTATAAATGTCTTTACTGTCACTTTTGATCAATATAATGCATCCTTGCTGAGTAAAAGTATTAATTTCTTCCAAAAAAAGAAAAAAAAATCTTACTGATCCCAAACTTTTGAACACTAGTGTATATATATATATATGAAGAGTTTGGTTCCAAAACGCTATAACTCCATTTTGATTAATTTGAGTAAAAATGTGTTTTCTTTACCAAGAAAGTGGCAAGATGAAAACCACTATTTTCTGTTTCAAACTTCCACATAGCATCTTTAGGTTATAATAACATTAAAAATTCAAATCCAGATTTTGATTTTCAAAGATTTATTATAAAATGTTATTATTTTTTCCCCAAAATGCAATAAATCCATGACACTTTTTTTTCTTCAAAATGCAATAAATCCATTGAATCAATATAAAAGTTATTTTTCATATTGAAACTGTTGAAAATACACAAAATAGTAAGTTGATCCACATATGACAGCCTCTGAACTTGGTCAATACTAATCTTATATACAGGCACTGGACTAAATATACATTCAATCAGTCATCGCTCCCAAAATGATTTCAGCGGGTCATCTTGTTAATGCTATAAATTAATTACAACAATAAAAGAAAATTTCATCATGAACATACATGAACAACAATATCACATTAAACCACAGAAATTCCAAAATGACATTTCCCTATATATACATATATATATATATATATATATATGTATGTATAAAAATATATTTATGGAGTTTAATCTATAGATATTTTTTTCCATTTCTGGAAGACACATCATCATCATAGAATACTGTTGTTGTGACATTAAATTAGCATCTATATGCTGATTTGAAGTAGAAAGACTGAAATAGTACTTTCTTAGTATAACAAACACCAATGATATTCGTTTTGTTTACAACTTCATAAAATCCTTTTTTTTACAGTGTACATACTATGAATATAGATTCATGTTTTCAACGCATTGCAATTCATGAATTGTTGGAAAGTGTTTAGAACTATTATGCTTGTTTAGTTTGATCTTCTCTCCTCTTTCTGCAGAAATAATAGCAGAGGATGAACCCGCGCCGTGTGCTGTTAACGGTCATGGCCGCACATGCCCCATTAACGGCACCGTGTGTAAGGAGGGCTGGCACGGCCCCAACGGAGGCATCACGAACTTCGACAACTTCATGTTTGCCATGCTCACTGTGTTTCAGTGCATTACCATGGAGGGCTGGACGGATGTGCTCTACTGGGTTAGTATTAGCATGCTACTTCCTCTCGCATCCTAGCTAGCACGTCTTCTTGTTGAAGTACTGTATAATGAATGTTAGTCAATAATTATATTTGTGTGGAAAGGATGAAGTGCTTGAACAGTCATTACTGCTTTGTGGAGAGTGTGAGAAGCTCAAACTAGCAGCCCACACACTGAAGCAGGAACTCAAGGGTCTGTGACTGACCAGTGTGCTCTGATGAGATCCACCCACCTTTCACATCATCTGCTGGAATATCTTTACTCCATTTCATCACAGCACACACTTCATTTACAGCAGCAAAAACTTCAGATAGATTTTCAACATAGAATTTTTTGGGGTGATTCACAGGAAATCTAACTGCTTATTTGACATGCCCAAATTTAACATGTAAATATGCATAATCCAGCATGCATGGTAATAAAGCTTGCCTCCTGGAAAAAAGTTACAATTTTACAATTTATAGATGTATACATATATTTAATTATTTTAATTCATATACATTTTTTAATATATGTATGTATGTTTTTATTAATTTGTATATATTAAAATTAATAAATAATTTATCAAATTAAATTAAAATAAAATAATGTTATTTAAATTAATAAAAATTCATAAAATAATTTGTATATATAATTTTTTATTTTTTTTTATTTATTTGACATAAATAATTTTCATCATTTTCAGTGGTTTGGTCAGGGTAGACTAGACATACAATGTTTCTTTTTTAATTAAATATTTATTTGTTTAAAGAAAATACTTGAAAAAGGTTTATATATAAATTCAGTTATTTATTTATTCAAAGAAAATGCCTGACAAAGGTCTCTGAAATGTAGCTTATTCAATACAATTCTTGCAAGCTTATGGACAGTGTGTGGGACTTCTCCTTTATCTTTTCTTTGACTTCTATCTTGACTTCATCCTACACTCAAATTTTTTTATTAGAAGTTGTACTTTTGAAAGCCTTCTGGAATTTATTCAAAACATCTAAATGTGTTAAAACTGAAATCCAGTTTGATTTAGAGTATAATGTCTTCTCTAGACCTATTTTTAACCTTCTCCTTACAGTTTATGTTTCATCCCAAATCTTTCATTCGTTTCTCTCTTTCTCTCTTCCTCCTCGTTCACTTCCTCTCCTCTCTCAGATGAATGATGCTATGGGGTTGGAGCTGCCCTGGGTGTACTTTGTGAGCTTGGTCATCTTCGGCTCTTTCTTCGTCTTGAACCTGGTTCTGGGTGTGTTGAGCGGGTGAGCAGCTCCTCTTTTCTCTTCACTACAGCCCCTGATCTCCAATTTTTTTTTTTCTCTCTCTCTCTCCCGAGACTAAACTCCATCCCTGGTGTTTCTCTCAGCTAAATGTAGCCTCTCTCTGGGTTAACCGTCCTGTTTGGCTCCCTGTAGGTGAATGACGCCATTGGCTGGGAGACGCCGTGGATCTACTTTGTTAGTCTGATCATTTTGGGCTCGTTTTTTGTGTTGAATCTTGTCCTGGGTGTACTCAGTGGGTAAGAGAATGAGAAACGCTGTGTGCTGTGGAGACTGCTGTGGTTTTCTATGTCTGCTGTCATTTCTCTCAACATCTGAGCTGAAGTTTTTCCTGCATGGGGTTCAGCATGAAGTTTGACGATAGACCTGATCTTGGATCAATACCACAGTCATGGACAAAAATGGCAAACTACTATGTAGGGCTGGGCGATAATTCGATAACGATAATTATCGCGATATAATTGTCCTCGATGAAACGATATGAAGAGTTTGATAAATGTTCGATATAATGTTAATGCGCCAAAAGCGGAACGAAACAGCGCGACTCATTTGAAGCGCCCCACACACGGACTGTTTATCCGCTCGGATCAAAGTTCAAACTGCCGCGCGGCGCGAGCTCACTAGAGCAGATGCGTTTACTCGATCACGCGAGCACTAAACAGCGCTGTGAGATCCACTGCTTGAATTCAGCGATGAACACAAATGACTTAGTGATTTAAACTAATTTAAAGCCAAACAGGAGAAACACTGTGTGCAACAAGACAGTCAGAAGGCTTTTCAATCTACACATCGCCATCATTTACCATGGATTTACTGTAGTAACACTCACTGCACCATGGTATTGTGGCAGAAACTTGGGATATTCACACTGAATTTTAATACAGGAGTAATGGTAATTATAGTACGTATTTGTGATTAAGCTATAGCGTGTGTGCATTTATACTGAATGTTTTTAGACTACTGTTTTTCATACAAATAGGCTACCTAAAAACATATAGTTATATTTTTACCATTGTATTGAGGTGCTATATGTGTGGTTTTAACTGTGTTGATGATTCATGAATTCATGATTTAAATGTATGCTACTATGGGAGACCAATGTTTAATAAAAAAAAAACCTTGGTCAGAATAAATGTAACCATATAAAACTGAGGTTGCTGCAATTTTTTACAGATGTTACTGATTTTGATAGTGAACAAATATTTACCTCTGCATCCTAACTCGAGCTACTATCAAATGTGCATTTCTAAGAGACAAAAAAGTGATATTATTATTATTAATATTATCAGGCAACCCAAATGTGTTTCTTGATTTGAAACAATATCACTCATTAGAACATGCAGAAACTAAGAAATTAATTTGTCTATTTAGATATTTATTTTAAGGGAAATTAATGGTCTGTTTTCTACAACTTTCACTTTGGAGCACAAATCTGGCTTTAAACTTGAAAGAAATAAAGATTTGACATTTATCGTTATAATTATCGATATCGACTGATATGAAAATAATTATCGCGATAATTTTTTTGGCCATATTGCCCAGCCCTACTACTATGGTTATTTTTTACAAAACTAGGGTGAATTCAGGTGAACTGGGCAACTTTTGTCACATCAGTGTCTGTGTGTTAATACTACTACTACTACTACTACTACTGCTAATAATAATAATAATAAACTCAGTATTAAGTAATTATTACATAGTACATAATTTAATAAACGGGTATTCGTGTATTAGTAATAATATTATTCACTTAATATACATACATTCTTTTTAATTTAAATATATTTTATTTATTCATGTATTAAACCATCCTATTGCATCATATTAACCAGTGTAATGGTTTTGGGTTTACTTTCATGCTGGTTCTAGCTGTTCACCCATCATAGCGATGTTGGTTTACCTTAAACAATCCAGTCTATGCCAGTAACAGATCAGGATTATCTAATACTTAAAAACCATCTAAAAACCCAAATGTCTTTGATTTTATGATGGTCCAAACTGGTCTAAACTGTAAGCATTTCCATATGCATTCTATTCTGAATGTTAACTCAGTCCTAAGGTGTTTTAGTGTAACTGAACATACACTATTTATAGTTTTTTAAAAATAGTTATTTATAGTCATAATTATAGTAAAATATAGTGAAATACTTTTCTAATCTCACTTATGTAAAAACAAAGACAAACCTCAGTTTTAGACAAACAAACATTTTTAGATTCATTGTAAATTAGTGACATTAAGGATATGCTTGGGGTATTTGCAATCCTTCTTTCCATGACTGTATATTAGTCGTTTTTTAATTTTTATATATATAGAGGTTTCAGGTGTTTTCTGACGTGTTGTGTGCTGTGAAAAGATCCTCACATCTGCTGGGTTGAATCGTTCTGAACTGATGACATTATTAAGTCAAATGGGTCCAAGGACAGAGCGAAACACTATGAGAGGAAGTGATTCAGACTCATGAAAGTCATGGAGGAGAAATTAAATTGTTTAGACTAAAAGACTAGGGCAAAGCAGGTGAATGATGCTAATTCAGCAGAAACATTTGCTTTTTTGGGAAAAAATCTGTCATTAGGATGATTTACCAATTCAGCACTTAAATACAAATGTATTGTATGCATTTGATCAAAATATATTATGAAATATTACTATTATCATTTAAAAGAATGGTTTTCTATTTTACTATGTTTTATATATATATATTTATATATATATATTTTAAAATGTAATTTATTCCTGTGATGCAAAGCTGAATTATCAGCATCATTACTCCAGTCTTCAGTGTCTCATGATCCTTCAGAAATCATTCTAATATGCTGATTTGCTGCTCAAGAAACATTTCTTATTATCAATGTTGAAAACAGTAGTGCTGATTAATAGTTCTCTTTCATAGGTTCACTCAATGCTGCGTAGCTATGACGCAATGGGAACGTCTCTTGGGTGTGTCGATTGTCTGAAGCCTGTATGGAATCACGCCAATTCATTGAATGATGGCGCAGGCTCCACCTCGACGTCACTATGTCATCCACTCTAATACTAGAGATTGGGCCATCTGCCTCTCAGATTTCCTTCCTTCAGAAGCGGTCGTTTAGCCCTTCAGTAGCGATTTATCTGGCCTGTGTTTTGGCTTATTTCTTTGAGTTTCTCTTTTGCACTTCAGCGACTGCATTCAATGGAACCTCGTTTCTCCTCATGGTGAAGTGCTATGGAGTTTCATTGCTGCCATCCACCGTGCTCTCACTTTATTGTGAGCGACAACTCACACAGTAAGTGTGTTAAATGTATGGGTTTGTCTCACTCGCATGAGGCTTTTTACAGCATTTCTAGCTGTACATTTTGTGAGAATCTCTGTCTCTGAATCTCAGTGATCCGTTTTCCCCGTCATACTGCTCCGGAGGCCGCTGAGGCCCTTCGTGAATCTGCGGCCTGGGGTTCAGATGTGGAGTTCGAGGCTATAGAAAGTGAGCTGACGGTCCTCGCCCTTTCTCCCTCTCTCGCACAGATTCGGTGGAGTTTTTCCACGATTATTTATGTCCCTACCCAGAGGCACTCAAATGATGATTCCAGATGTTAGATGACATTTTGCGATTCGTTGATTGGTTCGTTACTGTAGACCTGAAGGATGCTTATTTTAATATTCAGGTTGTTCAGCAGCACAGGAAGTTCCTCAGGTTTGCCTTTGGGGGAAAGGCGTACCAGTACAGGGTTCTTCCCTTCGGTCTGGCTTTGGCTCCAGGGACGTTCACGAAGTGCATGGATGCTGCTCTGGCCCCCGTTGAGGCTCCAGGGCACCCGTGTGCTCAACTACCGGACGATTGGATCATCTTGGCCCATTCTAGGGAGTTGGTGAGTCGTCACAGAGACATTCTTCTTCACCATCTTCAATCTCTTGGCCTCAGGTTGAATGCTCAGAAGAGCGTTTTCACCCTTTTTCAGTGGACCATTTTCTTGGGGGGGTCCACCCCAGTTCTGTTTCAATGCAGGCCCATTTGGCTCCTGTTCAGATTTCTGGTATCAAAACATGTTTGGCCCGCTTCAAGCTAGGCCATCATGTTTCACTGAGCACATGTCGCAGACTCCTGGATCTCTTGGCAATGGCCTCTCCTGTGCTGCCCCTGGGGCTGCTTCATATATAAGGCCATTTCTGTGGTGGATGAAGACCAAAGGAGTTTGTCCCTCGTGGCCGGCCCTCCTCCTACTAAGAGTGTCACGGTCATGCACACTGGACAGGCATGCATGCCACCCCCTTCTTTGGGCTCATGACAGGTTTCTTTCTCTGAGAGCGGTTCATGAGCGGTTCGTGCTCTGAACCTCACAGTGGACTTCCGATCGAGGCAGAAACTCAGGTCGGGGGACTGGATGCTAAACTGCCAGACAGTGGCTTAGATCTGGGATCTTTTCGGCAGGGCGGAGGTAAATCTCTTCGCATCGCAGGAATTGACCCAGTGTCCCCTTTGGTTCTCCCTATGTCACCTGGCACCTCTAGGGATAGATGCTTTTGCTCACCCGTGGCTCGATCTGAGGCTGTACACATTTCCGCCAATCAAGTTGATTCCTGCGGTCTAGAGTGAGGGAGTGCGGAGTCAGCCTCCTGCTGATAGCCCCGTTCTGGCCATCCCAGACATGGTTCTCGGAGCTAGTCTCCCTTCTAGAGCACACCCAATGGGAGATTCCAATCAGGAAAGACCTGCTGTCTCAACTCAAGGGCAGGATCTGGCACCCTCAACCCAAGATTTGGATGCTATGGGTGTGGCCGATTAAGGGCAGTCAGCTGTAACCTCTGGTCTTCCTGTGGACGTTCAGGAAACCATTGATAATGAAAGGCTCCTTCTACTAGGAGGCTTTATTCTTCCAAGTGGAAAGTTTTTGAGTCGTGATGTTCCGCTCATGCAGTGGACCAAGTCATCTGCCCAATTGGTTCAGTGCTGGAATTTCTGCAGGAGAAGTTTGCGGCTGGAGTGGCTGCTACCACCTTGAGAGTTTATGTTGCAGCTATTGCTGCTCGCCGGTATGCGGACTAAGTCCCCCTAGGTAGACATCGTTTGATCTCTTCATTTATTCGTGGGCTTAGGCGTTATGTCCCCAAGGTCTTGTCCACGTCATTTCGCTCCCAGGTGGTCGTGCTTCACTCCTGTCCTCCTCCTTTTGCTTCTGTTGAGGACGAGAGGCTTCACCTGCTCTGCCCTGTTTGAGCTTTGAAGCTCTATGTGGATTCCTCCCAATTGTTGGTGTGTTTTGGTGCTGGCCGCAGAGGGCTCGCTGCATCAAAACATAGAATTTCTCATTGGTAAGGGATGCTTGTGAGGTCTGAGGTCTCTCTTCACCGCTAGATATTCAAGCTCATTCTACCAGGAGTGTTGCTTCCTCTGGATGGTGCAGTCGCTAGTATTAGACTGGGTGACATGGTAACGTCGAGGTGGGGCCTGCACCATCAGCCATTGAATTGCCGTGATTCCATACGGGCTTCAGACACTCGGCACACCCAAGGGCTGTTCCCATTGTGTCATAGCTACACAGCGTCTCATTCCCTATTCAGAGAACATGGGTTACGTGAGTAACCCGAGACGTTTTCTATTCACTGATGAATAGAAAGTTTAAAAGAACAGCATTTATTTGAAATGGAAATCTTTAACAGCATTAGAAATAAGGATGCACCAATACCACTTTTTTCAGAACGAGACCGATACTTTCATTTTTGGTACTTTTTGGTAAATTTTTCACAGCATTTACATTTTTGTTTAAATATTGGGTACAGGAACAAAATAATAATAATAATAATAATAATATGAATCATGTTAGCTGGCTTCATTTAGCAAACAGATATTTCCTTCAGTTATTTACACACTTAATTATACCTGTTAAAATGTATTGTATAAGCTTTTGTTACTTTCACTGTTCATTTTAATGGCGCATTAGAGCAGCTCAATACTGTAATCACAAGACGTTTTCCTAAAATAATGCAGGGAACCACTCGTTATACATTATACGAGTACGCACGTACAATTTTTGTGATGTAATTTGCGTCACACGAACTGTACGCGGACCCTCGTGTAGGAGTAAAAAGTATACTTTGGCCTTTAAAGCAAGCTAAACATGTGCAGCGTGCACATGTTTGTATTAGACACTTATAGCCTAGCGCATTTCACACAGTCTGCTAATTTCACTTTTGCTTTAAATAAAGTTGTATAAGCTTGACGTTTAACATAAATGTTGTTTATAGTGATTGCCCCTATCATTTTTGTTTGTTTTATATTTACGATTTAGTTTTAATCTAAATGCATGCACTTGGAGCGAACAGCAATCAAGATCATGCGACAGAAGTGCACGCTCTCTGACTCTCTCTCTCGCTCTCTTTCTCCTTACCGTCAAATAACTTTAGTAACTTGTGCATTGTTTTACTTACTTGCTTTTGAAATATCCGTCCGAACTACAAACTTTCCAGTGATGTCTATGAAATATTCACTCGACAAGCTCGCGCATTTGTGCCGCCGCGCGCTCTGCTTATCAATCCATTCTACTCTTTGTTGTTCTGTTGTCGGTGTTTCTTTTTCTGGACACAGCTCTATTCACACGTTGTGTGGACCCTGCTTTTGGTATCTGGGCATTTTTACGAGTACAAGTACGAGTACAGGAGCGCAGTATCTGTGCATCCCTAATTATAAATCTTTATATGTCTTTACTGTCACTTTTGATCAATTTAATGCATTCTTGCTGAGTAAAAGTGTTAATTTTACTGACCTCAAACTTTTGAATGGTAGTGTATGTCGATATAGTTTACAAAACCTGTACAGGTTCATCATAACTTTTGTTGTACGTCAGTTTTTGGATTCTTCGTTTTTGCATGAACCTTGAACAGAATACAGAGATTAGTTAAGACAGAAGGAGACAAAAAGAACTTGAGGAGATGAGAAAATGGAATAGCCAGAGAAAGGAAGGGCAGATGGAGGAGAGGATGGAGACCTTAGCCAGACAGGTGACTCAATTCAATTCCATTGTTTTGTTTTTTACGTCAGCAAGACAGCCTATTACTCTCATATTCATCCTCTTCTCCTTCATTTCCTTCAGAGGGGGGCACAGATTTTGTGACCCCCTCTGGAAGGGTGAAATGAATCTCCTTCCTGTGTCCGTAAGTCCTACAAGCCATTTCTTAGAGCTGCAGGGTTATTAATATCCCACCAGGAGAGATTCAGACGCTGTGCCTGTTGTATGACGTTTCCAGCACGTTTGTTTGTCCTTTGTGGACAAGCATGCACCTTGCTGGCAGGACACTGAAGCATTTACACTTAGGTTTAACTGTATGTGAATATGGTGAACATGTGCATTAATAATGTATTAAATCTTTATTTTTTTTAAATTAGCTGCTCATGCACTGTTATAATTGCTCATACATAGGCTTTGTAATTTGAACAAATCCCTTACCTTAGGCATTATATTTTGAAGCAGAACTCTTTCTGCAGTTTGTTACAGACATGAATTATAAGTGATTTTTGTGAATTGTTCAGAAAACGAGTGTACTTTTCTAAGTGAATATTAAACATTTTGGCATTAAAATTCAGTTGATTTTTATTAAAAGAGTGACCTGAGCCAACCTGGTATCAACCTCCTAGCAATGCCCTTTTGGGGGCCATTATATTTGGAGGATTGTTAATGTTCTGATGGTAAAACTGTGTTTTCCTGAACCCAGAGAGTTCTCTAAAGAGCGAGAGAAGGCGAAGGCTCGTGGAGATTTCCAAAAGCTACGGGAGAAACAGCAGCTGGAAGAAGATCTGAAAGGTTATCTGGACTGGATCACGCAAGCCGAAGACATCGACCCTGAGAATGAGGAGGAAGATGAGGAAAGCAAACGCAACCGTGAGTACCTGAGTACTACTCTCACAGTGCAGTGGGATTTGCATTTCGGTCAACTAATAGAGGTTACACTTGCAAACTATCTGATCTCACTTCATGCTGGCACATAACTTTATATTAGCACATTTTTACATGACAATGAAAAGTGATGTGCAACTGGTATGGTCATCTCAACTAACTTAGAATTTGCAGTGTAATTTAAATGCATACTAGTACCTTGTTGATTACCGAGTACTCGGTCAGTTCATATTCAGACAAATGCAGAAAGTTATTGCATGTAAGGATTTAGAATTGAACTGAGAATGATTTTTAAATTGCAAATTAGTTCATGAATTTGAATTCAGTTTGATCTGAGTAGCAAACAATTTGGTCAATTTGAATGCAAATTTAAGGAAGTAGAATTAAAAATTCATATTACTGCTGTAGGTATGGTAGGCTATTTAATAAATAATACTTTCACTTTTCAATAAAATACACTTTTTTCAGAAATATAAGATGATATTCATGTATGTAATTCCATTGTATGTAATTTATATACACTTCTGCACATTTATTGGCTACATTTATTGATTAAAATACAATAAATTCAGTATTAAATTATCTGAAAACATTGCTGTATGATAGAATTAAAGTCTGCTTAATGGTTGTGTTCTTTATTTTTGCAGCATTAGCTTAGTTTGAAAAATGTTGAAAAATCAGCATATTAAGGAATCAATAGGCCTAATTAGTCAACTCAAAATGAATTATTTGTATTTTGTGTTGATCTAATGAAATTTGCTCAGTGAGCTTCTGCATTGCTATTTTCTGATGTGTAATAGCTAAGGGTGACATTACAACCAAAGCTTTGCAACTTTTTGTAGCAGCCACAGAGCCATCTTTAATTGGTCCGTCATGCCCATCAAACAGAGAACAGATGTCAGCAAACCCAAAACAGCTGCCTCTGGTGTATTTTTGATGAAATAGTTGAGGAGCAGTCAGCATGCGCTGACGCCTCAAGTCTCTCACCGCAGATTTGTCCATCATATTCAAACATCTCCAGGTCAGAAGGTTCAGTACGCGACTGACAGCAGGGGCTGATTCTGGAAACTGGAGAACTAGAGTTCATCATGCTTGCAGTTTTGGTTTGATCAAGTCTTCTCCATGTATTGTCTAAAAGTGACATTAAATGAGCTAAACGTAAGACAGTCAGCATGGCCGGTACCCAGCTAACAAAAATATGTTCTAAGAACATTTAGGTAATGTGAAATGTTGTTCTCTAAATGTCAAGGAACATTCTTTTTTTACATTTTGTAAACATTGTTGATAATATGTGTTTCTAACATTGCGAGAACCTTCTGAGAACGTTCCCTGTTTGCTGGGTGTCTGCTGAGCGAGAGGAGTTTGCTCAGAAGGGCATGAAGTGGAGAAACTGAGCAAAATAAGGACTAATCCTAATCCCTTTTATATAAGCAGCACACATGATTCTGAGCGGTTAGAGCCGCTGCTACAGTATGGCAGATTTCAGCTTCCACTGTCACTGGAGCTCTATGACTGACCTCAGTTCTGTGAGAAGACGGCCGGGTTAGATTAGCAGGCTGCATTCTGAAAGGGTTTTTTGCTATAATTGATTGATGCAGACCCACAAAAGTCGCTTGTCTGGAAGGCTTAGCGTTTATGCAGAACTTATTCTGCAAATGGAAATGCAAGCTGAATTCTCTTTCCGCTCATAAAAGTTCACAGAATCTATTTCTATATAAGAATCTATATAAGAGTATTTATTTCCATTCTTAATCAGTGTCTTTGTCTTGTTTTCCAGTAAAACTTGTTGTAAACAAGATAGGAAAAAAGATGAATTGTTTTAAGCATAAAATTAAACTTATATAAAATAAAAAAATAAAAGTGGGGGAAAAAGCACTTTTGTATACAGTTTTATACAATTTTTATACATAAATTGTAATATTAGTTTAATATTAGTTACGTTTATCTTCACAACATCCATGGAAAAATAAGTTCTGTTATGATAACTCTAGGAGAGTTTAGCATGGTAATGTACATGGCAGTGTTAATGCATTTGGTCTTGGTGGAATAGATCTGCTACACTGCTGTGGCAGAGCAAGTACCGAGACTTGCTACTGCCAATACATCCACAGACATGCTGCTGTGAGCATGTAAGAAATACTGCTTCTCCACATATAACATGCATGAAATCACCCATATATAACATACATGAAATTACCCCGTAGCAGATCTATACAGGTGGAGCTGGGGAAGGTGGAGGGTTTATGAAGTGCGCTGCAACTGCTACAGCAAGAACTGGCCAAGTATTTGAATGTCGAGCAGCAAGCTCATTGGCTGCTGATGTGAAAGAAACCAGTCAGCTGTGCCATGTGAATAATGATGTGATGATGTTTATCAGACTGAGTTAGAACCTATCGGCCTGCGCCATCTAGAGTTTCATGACAGAACTTTGTATTACTGGTCATTTTCTGCCAAGACATTATCTGTTAAGTTTACGGTCATTTCCATTAACCCTGAAACACAACACAATTCAAAGCATATTTGAAATGTAAAAAAATCAATAAGGAAAATTCCTTAATTTTAACGTAGTACATTGTTTTAGTATTTTTACTGAGAAAAAAAAGGCAAAGATACTGAATGCAAATTTTACTGATTTTGTTTTTTAGATAATCAGATTATTTTTTATTAATTGTGTAATTATTTTAATTTGTATTAATTATTTTGAATTTGTCTTTATTTTATTATGTTTTAATTTTAATTTTAAAGTTTTAGGAATTTTGTGTTTTCATTTTGTTAGTTGTTTCTATAGTTTTTATTCATTTTTATTTCAGTTTCAGTTTCTTTTATTACACCGGGTTAAACTAAATGAAAATAAATGCTTTGGCAACTAGTTAAAATAAAATATATTTTTTTATTTCAGTTAAAGTTTATTTCAAGTAATACATTTTTCATGGTTTTAATTTTGAACTGTGATATATGATAACATCCAACATCTCATTTCTTTTGGTTATGTTTCACAAAATGCCATGAAATCTGATTGTTTTGAATATTTACTGTATTTCATTTGATTGGCCTGCCATGTATGCATTATATTCCTCATTGTTTTAGATGTTGTTGTAAATTGGTTGTTCATTTCTGGTAAGTCCAAAGAGAACAAAATGTACAAATAATAGCCTGCTTTTCCAAGCAAATATCAAACCGGCAATTTCATCTCTGTTGACTCTGTACCATTTTCAAATTGCACTCTTGCATTTTAGTGATCATACAAGACCATACTGCAATTTTTTATTTGATTAATTGTGTAGATTTAGCATGAGAAATTATATTAGAAGGGGCCTTTTTTAAGTACAAGTTACATACACATGCACGCAGATCTCCATCATCTGCACCATTGAATCTCAACACTTGGTCCCTCGCTATGTTCTTATGTTTTCACTAAATTCATTGCACTGTGATCCTAATAACCTGCTCTCACTCACTGTTAACTAACTACCCATCATCCTTTGCTCCCGTCCAGCTGACCAGCTGCCTCAATGTTGATGTTGTTGTTTATTGTTGTTAATTGTTGTGTTGGTGCTGTTCTTGTTCCTGTGCTTTATCCTGTGTCGATGTGACACTCGTTCTCGCCCCCATGACCGTGCCGCGGCTGTGCTGTGTAAATCATGCATGGGCTTTGGGTGCATGGGAAATGAAGGGGTTACATTGGCCAGCCTGATGGAGAAGAAGAAGAAAGGGTTTAACTGGTTCAGCCAGTCCTCTGACACTCATGGTAAATCTCCCTCCCACCCTTCTGTCCCTTTCATATATGTGATTACTGATGATATTCATGAATATTACCTGTTAGAAGCCTTGCACAGTGTTTGTTTAATAGGCATTTTTAAATGAATGGTTCTGGATTTAAAATCTGACTGGAAGCCATTATAAAATACTAGGTTACCAGTTACAAAATGGACTAATATTTCTAAAGGGATAATTAACTAATTTACAGATAATGTTTTTGGATTTGTATTATTATTATTCATTGATTTCATTATTTATTGAACATTAGTTATGCTGTTTCCACATTTTATAGAAGTAATAATCCATTTAAGCAATATCCTTCATTTTCTTTCCTATGTTGACATGCTTGCTGTTGTATTGAAATTTTTGGTCCGTTTTCTGTATTTGCATTTGTAAATGCATTTATCTGTTAAATGTTACTTATTAGGGGTATATAGATGAAAGGAACATAAAGCTAAAAACAACTTTTTATTGGATTTTTAACTGTAATAAAATCACTCTTCACTACTGTTCAAAAGTTTGTTTTAGAAAGAAGATTCACCAAGGTTGTATTTTACTGTAACAAAACTTACTGTACTGTAAGTAAAATTGTGAAATATTTTTTCTATAAATTACATTTTTCTATACATTTTTCTATATATTGCAGTTTTCTATTTGAATGCTAGAATGTAATTTATTCCTGTGATGCAAAGCTGAATTTTTAGCAGCCTAGTCTTCAGTGTCACATGATCCTTCCCAGATTTTGTGCAAAATAAATATTTATTCTTATTATCAATGTTGAACACTTATATTTTGCTAAATATTTTTGTGGAAAAACAGTGATAATTTTTTCATGATTCTTTGATGAATATAAATAAATAAATAACAGCATTTATTTGAAATAGATTTTTTTGTAACATTATAAATGTCTTTTTTTTTAATCATTTTTTAATCAATTTAATGCATCTTTTTAAAAAAATAAAAGTATCAATTTCCTCTTCAGAAAATGAAAATCATAGTGACCCCAAACTTTTGAATGGTAGTGTATGCAGTATAAAGATTAGAAGTCGGTTTCACCTCTCAACTAGACAGATATTCCATGTTGTGGTGAACAGACATGAATGGGATCGATAATCATGCTGTTTAGCATGGAATCCAGCAAATCATTTTACCATGTGAATGTTTACTATAGCTGTATCTAAAAAAAATTTGGTATTAATCATTGACTTATGCACAAATTGCCCATTTTGGCCTGTATGGATGTATGTATTTAAGCTAAATGTTTAAACTTTAATGTCTATGTGTGTGATGTTTATGTGGACGCCGTGGTGTGTGAATGCACTGCTAATTCCTAATCATGCTACTTGTGCATTGCAAGTGTGAGTTTTCCTTCTCTATGCCCATCAGCGTTTATGCTCTTTGTACCCATCAATTTTTCCTCAACATTAGTGTTATCAGACTCCTCGCTTGCCTCGTTTCCTCGTTCCTGTGCTAATTTAGTCCTCTCATTCTCATTCTCTCAAAATCAGAGTGAGTCAGAGATCAGATCTGGCAGGAGTGGGAGTGCAGCGTCTCCAACTTAAAAATCCCACTTTAAAACAGTGACAGCGAGTTTCTAACATAGAAATGAGGTTAAACCCAGATCACCAGGCTCAGGGTCAGCATTTTATAGAGCAGTCACAGAAAGTCTGATCACACTCGCTTATTACTGTCTTTGGATGTGTCAGGATTTATCCGTATATCCTGAGGAAATGTGAGGACTAAGAAAAACAGATTTTTTTTTTTACTTTTCCCCTCAAGCTGCCTTTATTTTACCATTACCGAACTCATGATAAAACCTTTAGCTTTTAATTTAATTTTTGTAAATTTCTTCTCAGAACAGCGATGCAAGTTGATTAAACTTGAGTTAACATATAAACAATAGCTAACACTACATAAAGATTCAATGAATTAATAAACAAATGAATGACAAATATAAATTGAAAACAAAAAAGCATGTTGGATTTTCAACAGTGCTTGTGTATACACCTGTATATATATATATATAATTGTTTAATTTATAAATATTTATTGCATATCATACAGCCTTTTATTTTTTAAATGCTTTAATATATGTAGAAATGAATTGTTCATTGTCTGTTCATGTTAACTATTGCATTAACTAATTCTAATGTACACACTAATGTGTTATCAAAAAGTCTTGTGTTGGTAAACCGAAAGTTCAAGATCAAATTGCATCATGTCAGAGCTTAGAAATTACTGACTTATATTCATGAATCATTTTTTGCACATGCATACTCTCTCTTTTTAGCCTTATCTATGCAAAACAGTGTACATTATATTTATAGTTGGAACATTTGACTTGAATTGGGTTTCACTAATGATGTGTCTCAAAATCTCATTATCATTGTTGAATGTTTATCAGGAAGATGATCATGTCTGGTTTTTGTCCACTAAATCTTTCTTGGCAGAGTATGTGTGAAGTATGTGTTTTAATGTGTGTATGATGACACTTTTGTTTGTGACACAATAGCAAGCATGCCGGCGAGTGAGACAGAATCCATGAATACAGAAAATGAGAAAGGAGAAGAGAAGGCAACATGTTGCGGCCCAACATGGTGAGAAAACTCACGCATACATGTGAAACATTCATATCAAGAAACATATGAATTTATTAACTTTACAATTTCTTTCAATTTACAGTCAAAAAATTTCAAAATCAAAGTTCAGGTCAGTAAAGTTGTGATTAGTTCACATTATATTCTATCATCTATCTATCTATCTATCTATCTATCTGTCTGTCT